GTCTGCCATCATTAACTCCTAGAAGTATATTTCTCTAGAGTGATCATTTACTGCTGCAGTTTGCAAAAGGATGAAATTTAAGAATGTGATGCCATTTTCATTGCAAGAAAGTTCTGGAAATTATTCAGCAATGACCCCATATACACATCAAGAGAAGATGTCTATGACAATTTACAAGATCTGTTTTTGTAAAACCTAACATATATCAGAAAAATTTACGAAAGTGTTTATTTTCAGCAGCAAAGTAAGTTTTTATGCTTGCCATAATGTACGACAAAAGTAATACAAATGTGAGAGGAAGTTAAGAATTTTCAAGTCTTCTTAATCCTTAAGATTAATATCAAAACCTTTTATCTTAGTTATGACTGTTACACTTGATCCTACAGCCACAATTGCAAGCAATTGTTTTTTAACTACGACTACATGATTAGAGTTTCTTCCATTCGTAAGTGCCTCTCATGAGTGCATCAGGTTAGTAAGTGACTACACAGCAGTCATTGTTGTTGCACTTGTCTTTGTTAATCCTAAAATGTTTGTTAGTTTAGGTTCACCAGAACCGGAATTTGAACTAATATGATCAAGGATTGGATCTCAGTTATCTTTCATTGAGATAATAATGATTGCAGTAATAATCTCTTGAGGTTCTTCTCTGGAATTGAAAAATCTAGCTGTAGTGTTAAGGTATTGTTGTATCATCAGCAGTTTGGGAGAGGGTTTCCAAATTATTGTAGAATAATAGCACCCAAAAAAATATAAATGGAATTGACTATCAAAACTTTCATCAAAGAACAACAATTCTACAGGTACACTGCAGGGAAGTTACAATAATGTACATAATTAATGACATATCAAAATAATTTAATTTTAATAAATTAACTGTTGCCAGGTAATGCAAAGTGATCAACTATTTACAGGTATTATGAAAAGTTTTTTTTTTACAGCATTTGATACGCCTACTATGTTTTTCAGAATGCTCTTGTCTGTGTCTGGGATGGTCCAAACCCTTCAATCATTATTTCCAGGTCCTGCAACACACACACACACACACAAAATGAAATTACATTACTGTTATTGAATAAACAAAAACATAGGAATCTCTGGGTAAGAATTTGAATAGACCCAAATTCAAACTTGGCTCCAAGGCATAGGGGAATGAAACAAATGAATCAATCTTGAGATTCAGCGATGAATATAGTCAAAACCCCCTTTACGGACACCCGCTTAATATAGACACCTCATTATTACGGACAGTGTGCTTTGTCCCTGGGGAAAGAAAGCCCTTAAACTTTCGCTAATTATTCAACCCACTTTATACAAACACCCTGTTAATATGGACACTTTCCATGGCCCCCTTGGTGTCTGTATCAATTGGGTTTGACTGTAATACATTTCTTTTGTTTTATTTCCCTAACCCTTTAGCCAAGTATGAATTTTACCATTATCGAAATTGGTCTATTCAAAGCAAGTCTGTGTGCTTTGGATGATTACATGAAACACCAGGGCCGTAGCCAGTATGAGGCAAACCGAGGCACCTGCCTCAGTCATTTAAGGTTTGATTAGTGTTTTGTTTAAACGTAGTCATCGTAAAGACCCTGAATAGCTAGGAGGGGAATTCAACGATGGATATTGCCTCAGTCCTCATTTTTTTTCTGGCTACGGCCCTGAACACAATTCCAATCCCAAATAAAAGCCTGCTCAAATTATCACAATATTTTCTCTACATTTTCTCACAACATTTTCAAAGCCAACTGACAACCCAAATCAACACTGTTGTGAGATGTGGCAACTGTTTAAGTGGGACTTCATGGAAAAACACACCAACTATTCATCTTTTGTAAAGGAAAATATGAATATCTATTCATATTTGTTCAGGGCATGTTGTGGTTGATGGTTTGAAGTGGCACGGTCTTAACATCTCTTGACATTCACTCAACAAAATGTTGAGAGAATGTGATGATCTCAAAATCTCTTTTCATTCGACTCTCCAGAAAAATAGTGTGTTGTGAGAATGCCGAAACAATGTGTGCTGTTAAACCGAGGCTTAATTGCCTAATTTCGTCTATGTGCTTGCCCTGAGGAACAGAAGGAAATGAGGCTCTTGGGGACATGACTTTCTCAAAATTTTGAAACTGTCTTGTATTCAATCCTCGTAGGTCACAATACTTGGGGAATTAGAGGAAGATAGGATAATCATAATTTCTGAAATGTTAATTCCATTTCGCAAATTCCTGTCTCATTACTAAGTATAAATGGACTGCACAAGTTAGTATGTCAAACTGGTACACGTACATGTCCATGTAAGAGTGCACAGAAGTACACCGCATAAAAAGTTTAATACAGTGTACTTTTGGAAAAATTTAATGTGCATTCCTGGGATGTTGTAAAATCTGCTTTGTTTATTTGACTATCACACTCGCATTTTCAATATTAGTTTGCCAAGCTCAAGTCTGATTTGGTAGCAAAGGGGAGTAGAGCTTAACCTAACCTCAGAGAAAACAAACCTTGAGAAGTTGTGTCTTATCATGACTGTGACGCTGCTTGTGGATGCAAGACTGAAGTGCACTGTAGTACCGCTCTAACATCTCGATTGAAGCACCTTTAGATGAGTCAACCAACAGATCTACTAAAACCTCCAGCTTCTCTTTTAAGTCATGATCATCAGCAAGCTGACTGCTGCAGCTGTTACCTTCTACTGATATTTCAAGTTCATTTTCAGTCGGGTTTATTTGACTTTGAGGTGACTTTTCAAGCTGTCTGTTGGGGAGATCATTGAAGGCTTCATCCTCTGTTTAATAGTATTCAAAAGCAGATGTTACAACCACACTTACTATTTTATGTGAGTTTTCTAGGATCTTGTGTGTTGGATTGGTAAATGTAATCACAGGGGGGTCTTACTTGCCGTTAGATTATATGGTATTGAAATAATGATTATAAAGTCAACTCTCTATTAACAGACACCCCTATAAGACGGACACCTCTTTAAAACAGACACTTAAAGTTGGTCCCTACCTTTCTTTGACTCTCTATAAGACGGACATCTCTCTTAGAAGGACACTTAGTGCTGGTCTAGCCTGGAAAACATCCATTTCTCCTCACTCTTCGCCGCTGGGGACGTTTTGCGCGGGGGAACGTCTGCGACTCAGCGGCAGAAATTCCATACTGATGACGCAAATCAATGTTTACATAAAAAATCCAGTAGTCATGTCCAATGTTACGTGTCTTCTGATCGATTTTGGTAAAGTGTTGTGTTCATCTGCCAACGAGCTCCAGCAAACTCAAACGCTTCTTCTAGAGAAGAGTTTATTCGACAAATATTGACTGTTTTGTGCGAGATTCTTCGCGTTTACATTTGACCTTTGTGGCCTTTTGTCTGTCATTTGTAAACAATAGCTAAAACAATGTAATTACTCCGTCGACCAATCAGAGCTCCTGACCGGATTCCGGACAGATTTTACGTCATCAGTATGGAATTTCTGTCGCTGAGTCGCAGACGTTCCTCCTCGCGAAACGTCCCCAGCGGCAAAGAGCGAGGAGAAATGGATGTTTTCGCAGGCTAAGTGCTGGTCCCGAAGGCGTCTGTCTTAGAGAGAGTTGACTGCAATATGAAATCAAAGATTGTTAAGAAAATTGTATTAAGGGTCTGTGGACAGGTCTGAGACGTTCGGAAAACTCTTGGAAGATCCGATCACTTGCCAAGTAAAATACGAGATATGAACGGCTCCGAAGATTTCTCAGTCCCAGATCTCGCACCAACTGCCTGCAAAACTCAAAATGGCTGCCAAAGAAAACAAATTCCGTGCACTGATTAAGTAGTTTAAGAGGTGATGTATTAAACTTAGGTCTTCCTTTTTACCAGTGTCGGCAGACTGTTGGTCAACAGTTTCCCTACAGTTGGTCGAGAGACTTTTTGGGAAGCTCTTCTTTACTTTAAGTTGAGTTTAACCCAATTTGTTTAGGAGTTACACATACTTGACTGAAAGATGCAATGAAATGTTATAATGTATATTATGTTTTTGTTTTTTTTTTTCACATTTCTCACCAGTACAATCCAACTCTCTATCCTGCATAATTTCGTCTGAGCAGCCCTCAGTAGGAATACCATTAAGTACATTGGTGTCCATTTGATTTAAAACATGATTTTTCAGAGTTTTTTCAGGTAACCGTGATATTTCTTCCACATCATTTTGAAGCACAGACTTGGAATTCAACTTGGGACAAATTTCAGTAGGAGTGTCATTGTCCAACAGTACAACATCCCCATTTACAAGAGAGTCACCTCCATTCTCCAAGTGCATGATGTCATCTTCAACACTTTTATGGTTGGCATCTCTGTATTCACACTCTAAATCATCATCTACAACTACAGCTTTCTCAGCTTCACTGAATTTTCCAGATTCTTCCTCAACAGGCTTTTCGCAATTAGAATTAGCAGCAAGATCCTCAGCATCACTTTGTTCACTATCACCATTTTCTGCAAGCTCTTTTTGCTTTTGGGCCACATCAAGATCAGAGTCTAACTTCCGTTTTGCATCTGTTTTCTTTCTACTAGGTCTCTTGCCCCAGTAGATTGGAGCTTTTCGTCGACGTGGTTTCTTCTTCTGCTCAGTGCTATTGTTCTGTGATTGTGATTCTGACACAAAGGTTATATCTGACACTCCCAGTGCTTCTTTTGCTGATTCTGCTGGCTGTGTGTTTAGTGTGGAAGATGAGTTTCCTTGTGTTGCTGGATCAGTGAACACAAAAGGGGGTGCTATGGCAGTTGTTTTCTCTCCTAATTGAGAAGCAGACGAAATTACTTTCATTACTAACTTCAATCAGCGAACCACTTCATTTGACAATACTGCAATAATTTCAACTTGTTGACGTGACAACTAAGAACAAAGCCAACCGCGCAACTGATGAAGTTCGGCAAAGAACCTAAATCATGGTCTTGCCTGATCAGAAAGTGGCAATAACAGAACAGTTGCAAGACTGTTAAGCTAATTAAAAGTTATTTCTGAGTAATCATTGCTTGAAGAGCAATCTTGACTGAGTTACAATGTAATTCTCCATAGTTGATGTAGCTTCAGCTTAAAGTGCAATCCATTCTTCAAAATTTGGATCTGTAAATCAGAGAATTTAACATCCCGCAAAAAAAACACTAACGAGCTGTACCCAGCATGAAAAAACATTGCAGGAAACCTGGGGTTTGTATGCAAGCGTTTCCTTCCTTCCCCTCCCCATCTCCCCTCTTTCATTTTTTGGCTCTTGTGTCACTTCTTGAGCAGCCAGAACCGAAAATCCCCTTCCTCGGTCTTTCTTTGCTCCAAAACCAAACGGAAATGCTTGCGTTTACTATGCAGGCTAAAATTAAATATATGTTGATACATAAGCAATACATAAGCACTCTTCTGATATCATAATCATATTACATTATTGGTATCCACAAAAAATTATCAACAATATTTAGGTTTGAATAAATAAATATTAATAACTGCATCGCTAAATGGAGGTTGGGTGCTGGAGTATCCAGGGGCTGTGGCTGAATGAAACCTCCTGACATGGCCAATGCAGCACAAAGGAAACTCCCCACACCATTGAATCACATGAAGGATGTAGCAAACAACTAGGTATGTGCATGCTGAAAGGCTGCAGACCTCTGGCACATATATATACTTTTTCAGGGGGGGCTAATTCAAATGACTTTTGGGCTAGTACATGCTAGCTACAGCTGGCCCAAATGGCAAGCTGTAAAACTGACTTTCTTTGCACCCTGATGTTGTAGGTCAAAATAAAATTTGTTAAAATGGTTTCAACCTGGGTTGATTCTCAATGTCCTTTGCCTCCTGAGAGGTAGCTTCAGGAAAAGTTTCTTGGAATGGCCACGATGACCGATTTTGGGAGCAGAATTTGCTCAACAAGGAAACAATACAATATTCAAGCTACAATGACTGCTTACTGTACCACAAAGTCAAAATAGTATTCTATCAACAGCTGAGAATTTCGTGAACTTGAAATGTACTCATGCAAGTTAGTTTTTAAGGCCTATGTCCATAAAATATGTTGTAGCATTAACAATATCAAAGAAACAATAAAAATAAATAAGTGCTATTTGAGCAAACCTGATATCTTATTTCAACAATACCAAAAAATTACCTCTTCTTTCTCTTGAAGCAATGATTTCTTCACAGGTCTGTGAAAAAAATTTCATACAAATGGTCAAAACGGTACAGTACAGAACAGGACGGTAGTTTTAGCAACAGATAATTATTCAATTGGTGCACAAATGAACTAGAAAAGGTAAGAAGCTGCCTCCCTCGAACAAAACTGTTTCAAAACCCTGTGAAGTTTGAGTTCAGATAAGCTTCAACTCAACCATCCACTATCTTGGACTCTTCTCAGTAGAGCGCTCCATCCAAAACACATGTAATGTTAAAGGACTTAACTACAGGGTAACAGGTTTGCAAGCATACTTGGGTTGTCTACTATACAAAAATTGATATTTGGAGTACTGGCAAAACCAATCAATGCAAACCCTGGACAAAAATTGGCGGGAGCAGGCCTTTGCTCCCCGTATTTACTTGTAAACCCCCAAATCCGGCTCTTGTAATGTCATAATCAGCAATGTAGCTACGGAAAAGCTAAGCAGGCTTTTTTATTTCTCAACCACCTTTTTCTCCAACTTCACTCTTCCCAGAGCAATTTTAGTCGGTGGTAAACTCTTTTTTCAGCGAGTTAAATTAGCTGTTAGCCTGCTCTTAGGGACATCCCTGCACAATGTACCTTTTCAAACTCTGGTTCCAGCTGAGACTTAATGAGCGAGTGAGCTGAATCACTTAGCTCACACGCCCTGTGCCTGATAAGTTTATCCAGGGGGTCTCGGTCAGGGTTGTACTTTAAAGCGTTACTTGTTATCAAGTCAACATCTGCTAAGTACTGTGCACAGGTGCTGTAGTAATGGCAATCAATTCTGTGCAGCATTGTTGCAAGATCCATGGGATCTTCAATCACCTCAAGGTAGTCAGGAACCTAAAACAACCAAAAAAAGTAGTTGCAAGAAACTAACTTCCATATCTGAAAAGGTCATCCTTAGTTTGTGGCTAAATATTTCACAGCTTAAACTTTGTTATGATGAAAAGCAAGAAATTAACAGGGTGTCCTCTAAGCTATGAACCACAAGACATGCAACAGTAGTAAAACAAAATGCGATGAGAACCAACAGCATGTCATTGCCTGCAATCAGTGACAAAATTAGTTGAGACACTTTGCCAAATGTTGCCACCTTACAAAGGGGAAAATAAAGCTTTCCCTCCCCCGACCCTCCATGCAATGTTTTACCACTGTTCAAACTACTTGTAGAAAACCAAAGCTCCAACTTTGAATGGAGGGGAGGGAGGAGGGAGGAGGGAGGAGGGATGTGAATTGTCTTGTTCTCTGAAGCTACCCCACTGGAGGACAATGTCTCAACACTATCTGTCACTGATTGTAGATGAAACCTTTTATCAGTTGAATAAAACTGAGACAAACACTATTGTGAGGCTTTTGAAAGAAGTGACTGCTTCCAAGTCCATCTCTCCAGCGAGAGATGCTAAGTTTATCAAATAATTTCAAAATGTACCTCCAACAAATCAACCGGTTTTGAAAACTCTTTGAATCTGCGATCCATCATGAGCTTTGCATGTACATCTCTGAGGAAGATGCGCAGCTCCCTCATTGTGTTCTCTTCATCTTGGCGAACTTTTCTCAGTTCAGCCTCTGTAAGCTGCCTTGGAGGAGGGGTAGGGGCAAAGGGCAACACTTCCAAAACCCAATTTTTTTCTGATCAAGAGTAAAAATTTAGCATTATAATGTTAGTTGAGACCAAAAATAACTACATATTATTTATCAACTTTAACAGGTTTGGAAATAAGGTAAAATTGAAGGCAACAGACACTAGATTCTCACTCGATTTGGCTGGTTTGGGTGGCTTGACAGCTTCTCCCAGAAAGAGATCATTGAAGAAAGCTCTCCTTTCATCTGATGTAGGATCAGCCACTTGAAAGACCTAGTGAAGGAAAAAAAATTGAAAGATGAATACACTAATTCTTTGGTAATTTATTTGTCCATTAAAAGCCGTATTTCTTTGCCTTGATTAATAGGGAAGGAAGATGCAATCAGAGGAAGAAAAGGGTGCAGAAAAAGTAAGTTTCAAAGCTAGCCCTTCAGGCAAGCTGCAGCTAACAGGTACTCGTTTGTCTAAGAGTCACTTTAACTAGCCTGGAAAAAACTCTTGACCCTCAGGATTGATTACAGTTCTCAGGGATGAAGCTAAGGAAAAGATAAGCCGGCTTTTTTATTCGTCAAGCTGGCTTTTTCACTCAACTGCATCTCTAAAATTCCCCCATGCCTTTGTTTTTGTTTGCAATTTGCGCTGGTGGTAAGCTCTTTTTCAGCTGGTGAAATTAGCTGGCAGCCGGCTCCTAGCAACATCCCTGAGTTCTTCTGCAATTTGAATTCCCTCAAAAAACTTCACTTGCCCATCAGGCAACTTAAGAACAAAGTTCACTAGCCCAATAGCAAAACCCACTAACTCTGGGCTATCAGACACAACTTTCCTTGCTGCTGAAGGAGGCTTGCACGTAAACAATAAATTACTAAATTAAATGATAACAGAGTAGAAAAGTGATGATGTAATTAAAATCAAATTTCTGAAATCATGGGATTTATCAGGATATTCTGAAAGAACAATGTCCAAGAGGCCTACTTGCCAAAAATGAGCATTTCTCTGAGATGTTAGCTCAGTTATGCTCTGATAACTACATACAAACCCTTCTACATTTTTTTTGGGTTGACCCCCAAAAAATCTTGGACGTTGTTCTTTCAGAATATCCTGACAAATTCCATAATTTCAGAAATTTAATTTTTATGACATCACACTTCAGAACTCTATGACAGCTTCCTTACTTGTCCAGTTTTGTCAGAGAAGAGCTCCCGCATGATGACAGGAAGTTGCACCCAACTCTCATCTGCAGTTGCTAGAAACAGCACTGGTGCAAGTGGAGGAAGATCATGAAGCAGTGACAGCAGGGTAGCATGTAGACTGTCTCCTGTAGCATTCCACAAGGCATCAAAATGTGGTGAGTATACCACACAGGGAGATGTACGACGAGCTTCACGGAACAACTAAAGTGATGAGCAAATGGGAGTATTTGAAGTTACACCACTTATCAAAAAACCTAAAGTAACATAATTTCAGATCTTATTCCTCCAAAATACTAGTACCTTTCACTTTAAAATACATGGCCTATAGAGGGGGAAGTTTATTATGTAAACCAACTAAGTTGTTGTTTAGCTCAACAGCTAAACACAAAAATTTATTTATTTTATTTAATTTAGTATTTGAGGCAAAGTACTAATAATTAGTCATTTTCTCTATCACAGCACGCTTAGGTAAAGGTAAAGGCGCACAAAGACCCAAACAGCCAGAGTTTATCCAAGTTTCCTTACCATGAACCATGCCTATGAGTACTGCTATTCCCCCCTGGACAGATGCTAGTCCATTGCAGGGTTACCCCCAAGCAGTATGTCCTTGTCTAGGGAAACAACGTGACCAGTGAGGCTTGAACCCCCGACCTCCAGATCTGGAGTTTGACGTGTAAACTGCTAGGCCACATGCCTCCTCTCACAAAACATTTACCATACACAAAAGTATTAGAAGCATTTCAATTGGAAGTTATTGAAACTTCTGCTATGATTCAGTTTCCTTGAAAGAAAGTTAAAAAAATATCACTGCAAAGAAGGACACAACCATACCTGAGAACAAGCTTCTTCAGGGGTCTTAGAAGTAACACCATACAAAGCTGGCAAGTCTAAACAGTAAACTGTCAAGTGTTCCATGGTGTGTAACAATGCAGGAGCAACATGAGTTGACTGACCCATACCCTGACGACCACAAATTAAGAATCTGGGTCGATATGTTGACAGTCCTTGTGCTGGGCCATTAAGTGAGCTGAAGAATGAAGAATAATGGTTTTCTGATGTTTCAGGGTTGCCGGAAAACTGCTGTAATCGTCTCATGTAGCGTTCACTTCTGGATGATCCAGGAAGAGACTCAAAGATAGGTGGTCCCAAATCATCATCAGAGCTGGCTTCTTCATCACTTAACACTGCAGCTGTCTTGTTACGCTGGTCATTCCTACTACTGCTAGGATTTCCCAGAAGGCTGCAGGGACTACTCTCTGTCACTATTTTCAAAACATGAGGGAAGAAGAAACAATATTATAATTTTATTTTAAGTGACAGCCTACTCTAACCTTACAGCATACTTTCTTTACAGCTATATGTATATTTCTAGGCAGGTAAAAGGTGTACCTTGTAAACCATAACACCTAAAGGTGCATATTCTCTTGGTGTTCTCAATTATTATTGATGATATGCTTATGTTTATTATTATAATATCATTTAAGGAACAATTTTACACATAGATGCATGACAGTTTTCACTAGGACTTAAAAGGAGGCTGAAAAAAAGGATCCGCACAGCACACTAACACCATGTATTTAGAGCACAGAAAAAACTGCTAATAATGATAATGATAATATTTATTATTAAAACCTGAATCATTGGATAATGTAATTTTAGAGCTCTGATTGGCTTAGCCATCAATGGTATATGAGCCACTAAACCATGCTCTCCAAATATGGTAACTTTACACATCTACTCAGAATTAAAAACAAGCTGAAAATCGGTTGTTTTTATATATAAAGTCGGGAAGAATTCTCGATATTTTGTGGGCGGTTTTAATAAAACATTATTATTCCACTCACGCTTGTTGGATATGAGATGATTATAGTCAACTCGGCATCTCATATCCAACGCGCACTCGTGGAATATTACTGTTAAATAATAATGATGATGATGATGATAATGATAATAATAGCTGTCTTTTGCATTTCTGTGGTGAAAATGGGTATATTTCACAAGCTATGGCAAATTTATTCGAAAAAATAATCGCAATAACAAGATTATGACATCCTAAGAAAAATCATAATCCTAGGTACTGTCAGAATTGTGTACCTGTCTTTATGTGAGCAGGAGGGAATACTTTCTCTACAATCTCAGCTGCTTCAGTAAGAGCCTTTTTCAGCAGTGGCCAAATGAGAGGTGAAAGAGCTCTTGCAGGAGAAACCACTGATCGCTGTGACGCAGGAACTATTGTCTTCATTGCCTTCTGGAAGTCTTTGGCTGTCACTTCAATAGAATTAACATCAACCAATAGCTTCTTGGTACTATTATAAATTTGTGGATAACGTCTCCTCAAGGCGAACAGGGCAGCCTCAGTACATAAAGCCTTAATGTCTGCACCACAGTAACCTACACAGCGATCTGCAACCTCACTTATAAAGGACGGCAGAAGTTTAGGTTCCCACTCACGAGTGTGAATGCTAAAAATGCTTCTCCTTGCCTAGAAGTACACAATCACCCTATCAGTATTGTGTCAATCAGAGTAATCTATACGACACCCAGCCCCCCTCCACTTGCGCTGGGGTTCCTTGGGTTAACTTTTGTTGGGTACGTGCCACTGGCATTCAGAACCCCTACCCATTGGCCAATTATCAACCCCATCTTAGTGACTTTTGGGAAAATGTAATTTTTGCAATCCCAACTTAGTCACTTTCTGTTCTTAAAAAGCCGTTTAACTAGGTCATCCTGAAAGGAATTGACACATTTGTTAACCTTAAGGCACATGTAGGGAAAATCTTCCCATTCATAGATCCCTACCTCCCAAACACACAATAATGTACATGTAGCGAAAATCTTCCCTTTTTTTAAGTCCCTACCTCCCGAAAATGTGAGACCCCACTCTAGAAATGCATTGAAAACACAACCCCATTATAGCCAATCCAGTCGAGAAAATGTGACCCTATCCAGTGGCACATCGCAATTAGCCTATTACTAGGAAGTACCCTCCTTCTTGCCCTCTCCCCTCCCCCCACCACGCATATTCCAGGCATCTGAAAGGTTGACATGCCCAGAGAGGAAGGAATTTACAACCCACCCCGCCCCCCTGCCTCCTTCCTGAACCTCTCAAAAATCACATTATTTAACACTTAAATGTGGCTATAATTATATTATACAGTCAGTTACTTAAAATGAAAAGACAGACCAAGTTAATCATTGCAAATGGACTGCTCAACAATAAATAAGTAACCCTACGTTTTTATCTGGAAGAGCAAATTGAAATTCTCTATCAAAGCGGCCAGGTCTGCGTAGTGCAGGGTCAATAGCATCAATTCTGTTGGTTGCACCAATCACCACTATTTCACCTCTGCTATCAAGACCATCCATAAGAGCCAGTAGAGTAGACACAATAGAGCTGTGGATTTGATCCTGACGACTAGAACGTACTGGAGCCAGTCCATCTATCTCATCAAAAAAGATAATGGCCGGTCTCATACTGAATGCCTGTGGGTTTAAATATTTCATAATACATTACATGAATTCAATTAAAGGTTTTAAAAAAAAATTTACACTACGGACTAGGAAAGCACTGTAATTATAAACCTTTTGATGTTTAAGGCCAGATGACAACCTTTTTTGAGAGTTAATCCAAGATGATTTATTCTGACAACTCCTACATGTAGTCAAGAGATTTGAATTTATACTGTTATCATTACCAAAACAAGAGGAAAATACCCTCCACCAAACATTGTTAAACAGTCTGAAAAAAAATAGAGTTTTGATATGATCAGTGCAGTCATGGGCAGACAGCTTTTTTCCAAAAAGTAATTTGAAAAAAAAGACTTCAAAGAACATGCATTTTTTATTCGTGTTTAAAAATGAAAAAAAAAATTCATGACCAAAAAGAGGCCATGTTGAAAACAAACCATTCTGATTTTCCACGCAAAGAACAAAAAACCATGTTGAAAACAAACCATTCTAAAAAACTCATTAAGAAATAGAGTCATGTTAGCCTATATATATAGTAACCTTCTTCAAGAACATTCTACACTACAGTGAACCTTACCTGATCAAACAGTAGTCTGAGTTGTCTTTCAGATTCACCAACCCACTTACTAAGACAATCTGCACCTTTTCTCATGAAAAATGCAACCTTCTTGTCACCTTGGCTGCATTCATTGGCAAGGGCTCGTGCTACCAGTGTTTTTCCAGTACCTTACATAAAAATGTTACAGAGATCACCACTTTAAAAAAAATCAAGTACAATAACAATACATTGCCACCTAGTACTTAAACATGAAAAGGACGAGTGTCAAAGAGTTTATTGCAGAAGTGATGACCAAATGGAAATTAGAATAGGGGTGAGAGGGACACTTTTACCTCCTCTACAATGAATGCAGCTAGCTGAGGTACAGGTATTTACTGCTGGTAGATAATTCATGAATGCAAGTTTGCCTCATGTTCAATAAATCAGTTATTCACCATTTATTCCCTTAAAATAAAATGCAGTTCCTCAAACTATAGCATGGTTGGTTATCCTAGCTACATTGTATGGCTCTAAAATGGGGCTTTTAAGTCAGGGATAAATATTAATCACAAGAGGTTAGTTAATAATATCTCCCACCTAAATTCAAGTCAACATTGTACCTGGTGGCCCATGAAAGAGGACTCCTCTTGGAGGAGAAATTTTGAACTTCTCAAAGACTTCGGGGTACATAAGTGGAAATAAAACCATTTCCTTAAGTGCTCGTATCTGCTTGTTAAGACCACCAACTGCATCAAACATCACCTGAATAATTATAACAAGCAAAAATAACATTTGCTGATATCTCTTACAGTGGATGCTTCCACATTTTTTTTCTTTCAAGTTTTGATAGAGACCAGTAAGCAAATATCCACTGAAACTACTAAAAAGGGCACCTTAAATTATAAAACATACCAAGTTTAAAGGTAGTATAATTATCCAAAGACAGTGCTCAAGGATATTGCTCCACAAAGCTGCACAATTTTACAGATGTTTGTATCATAGGAGGCACTCATGCTTGATTCATGAGGTGCTCTTTCCAGCTGTGTCAACAGATGTCGGATAACTGGTCCAAGTCAAAGTTGAAAAAACTATGGAAGGGTCTATTAAACCACAGGCTGTAAAATACTGGTGTTATGCCCTTGCTTACACACATTTGAAGCAGGTTTTGGTTGGGGTTATACTGGTGGAACATACAGGGGACAGTAAAAAATATACTCGTTGATTCCTAGAGATAGAATATGCACAATCTTTAAATCTTTTAATCAATATCACCCAATAAGGCAAAAAATCTCCGCAGGATTACCTTTCTGTCAATGTTCATGGGATCAACATCAGCCAGGCTTGAACCAATTCTAGCTCTTTCCTTCAGAATTCCTGAGGCAGCATCGTCATTAGTGAAATTCATAGGTAGGCAGCGATCTCTTGCCTTAGCCATGCTCTTTGCCTTTCGTTTTTCAAATTTTCTTTCATCTTTTTCATTGTCAGAGTCATCTAGAACACACAGATAACCCACAAACAAAATTCAAGAAGACCAAAATTTAACACTACATGACAGACATGAATGTGCTGTCAACAACAGGGCCCAAAATTGCAACTCACTGGATGTGAATACTGGTGAGTAATCTTAAGACCTCCTGGCTGGTAAAAAAAACTTCACTCAGTGTACCAGCATTTTATTTGATATATTCCTTTTTTGAAGTCAAAAACTACTGGCAATCAAAAAGTTTAATTTTGTGACTGAAATTTTTCCTCTGGTTTTTGTCAGCTGATGCCTTAATGAAAAAGTTGATTTAATTCTCAGATAGCTCTGAGAATGAAAGGATTTTACACAAGTTCCTATGTTTGAATTATTGTCCTTAAGTTCACTTTCTAAATAGCCCGGTTTTAGCGCGGTTTTCACTTGACTGTCGTAAAACCAAAACCAAAGTAAATACACTAGCCAACCAAAGGGCGTAGTAAAACCAAAACCAAAACCAAAACCAATCCCTTTCGACAGTCAAGTGAAAACCGCTCTATTTTACAGGAATGTTTAGATTTAATAATACTTTACCAAAATCAGGGAAAATGAATAAATGGAAGGATGTAGTGGTCACATGATTCACTAAACTCAAACAACTATCAAAATTTCCTTTTACATCTTTTGGTCTCAACATCAATACAACTATTATTTTCTCAGTCAGAGATTTTCTGTGCCATGATTTTGTATTTGACTAAGACAAAGCTAAAAAAATGTTAATCATAAAGGAAGGAATTATCTTTTATACCAGATGAAGAAGTTGATGAGCTCATATTTATCGCCTTCCGTTTATGTCTACGCATCTTTCTCAAAGGAGAAGCATACTGATTTGGCTTTTTCCTCTCTCCACTCTTCTGTCTCACTGTCATGTGAAAGTGTCCCCTCTTCCCTATAAGGTAAAAGTACCATATACAATGAAAGAGTCTAAAAGGAAAATAAGGGACTGAGTTGAACAATGAAGTTGACCCTAAGTGTGTTTTAACAAAACAAAGGGTTTGCATTCCTAAACAATGGCTAATTAGCAAGGCAACCCAAGGGCATGATGGAATATAGTGCTAAACATCCCTTGATTTAGTATCAAATTCTCCCTTTGATTTACAACAAGCATCTACAAATTGGAAGGATAATCAATTAGTTTATGGTCAGTGACATGAGGCTTTATTCCAGGCCCCAGTCTTTAATTTATTTTGTACTTTTATGTACTCCAATAAAGAAACCTATAAAGGTGACAATGTAGGATAAGACACATACTGGTTCTGCAATTATGTGACTAATCTTTTCTTCTTTGCCAGTACCCCAAACACCCCCATGGACATGGTAGAAGCAAGGATGCACCTGAATTCTTGTCAAACTACTTGCTAGGAATAACAATGAGGGTTGTGAGGGCTTTGAATAGCTTTCTCTAGCACGCAAAGAAAGTTGTGTATGATAGCCCGGGGCTAGTGAATTTGCTATCGGGCTAGTGATTTTTGTTGAACTTAACTTGCCCGATGGGCAAGTGCTGTTTTTTTTTGTTGGGAAATTCAAATTACAGGAGGATTGTAATCAATCCTGCTAATCAAAAAGGGTTTTGAGGCTAGTTGAAATGACTTGTGGGCTAGTACATGCTTGCTACAGCTTGCCCGAATGGCAGGCTGTAAAACTGACTTTCTTTGCACCCTGTTCCTCGCCTGTTCTATTTAGTACAGTCGACTCCCAATAACTTGGAACCTCGCTAACTTGAACCAAAATCAATTCCACCTTGATTTTCTTCCTACATTTACTGTAATTTTTACCTCAGTGACTCAAACTATCGGTAACTTGAACCTCCCACTAACTCGAAGTAATTTTTGTTTCCCCACAGATCATTTCTATATAATATTATTTTATTCCCGATACACTCAAACCATGTTTTGAGCACATAAAAAGTCAGCAAAAAACAGTGTACTGGTGTCCGAAACACTGAATTTTGAATTTCACATAGACGTGTCGTAGGCATTTTAGTTTACTAGTGGAGGCTGATGTTGTTTGTCCCAAATCTAATAGGAACAGCTTTTCTTCTCAAAACAGTATAATGCACGCTCTATTTAGGCTATATTTTGTTACATGATGCAGGGTTCACAAATACGCCAGTTTTTTTTCTTACTCCCTGCTTTTTTCTTCAAGCTCCCAATAACTCAAACTATCCATTACTGTAACTTTTTTTTAAGGTTCGAGTTATCAGGAGTCAACTGTAATTCTGATCTCCAATGTGCATAAGTACTGTAATTAAGTAACAGCTTTTACAAGTGCATACCTTTACTTGACTTCATGGGAGGTGCAGTGTATCTATTAGGTATAGGTCTTTTCTGCCTTAGGGAATACCCCTTATAATCTTTCCCTTCTCCTCCCTCTGCATCCTCTTCTTCTTCCTCCTCCTCATCATCGTCATCCTCATCATTATCATCATCATCCTCATCATCATCTTCATCATCTTCCTCATCACTATCTTCAGCTTCTCCTTGGCGCCTGCTGCTTCTTGTTGATCGTTTCTCAGGTGTTGGTGTCTGGTCATGTTTTCGTTTTACCAGGTCATACATGCTTGGTGTTTGTACAGCTGTATCCTGCACACAAAGTAATAAGTACAGCTATTATTGGTATCGGTCAAATTTAAATATTTAAAGGATATATACTGTAGGTAAAATTCATTCTAGGGTAAAGCCATTATTTAATCTAGACTGATTCAGAATATTCCTTTGTTGCGTAGCCCTAGTAATATTATTTTAGTAAAATCCAGCTAGTGGTCTATTATCAATGCTACGTTCTGATTGGTTGAGCTACTACTAGGCTATATGTTATAGCCCACTAGTAACGAAAAGCGAGGGCATTTTGACAGCAAAAAGAATTAAAGTCTAGCTTTAACTAGCTAAATTTTTTTTATTCTCGATATTTTTGACCAACTAGTTTGCATGGGTTGATTTTTCCTCTGGCCCTCACTATCAAGGGTATTGTGAATATGCGGTGTGGCTACTAAGCCAAGAGCAATAACCATCGGCAGTATAGTACACCACAAAGAGGAGAGATTCCACAGAAGTGCTAAGTTCAAATTTTTTTTGCTACATTTCTCATCCTCTGGAGACCATGACTTGATGTTTGGAACTAAACTGACATGTTCAGGGCAGGAAAATCTTCAGTCTATGCTCAAGTGAAGTTCTGGAGCAATTGGAGTGGAATGAAGGAAATTTTTGTAACTTTCTCTTTGGGCAGTGTAGGAAAGCCAAGTTTTCCTTGTCTTCTTCTTAGTACAGTGGGTGAGAAACCAAAACATGAAAACTTACTAAAATGGCATTGAAAGAGCCAGAAACTGTAAGAAAACAACACACAACTCTTTATGAGCTATGCACACTTTAATGGCTGTTTATGTGCATTTTAACTGTTTTATCGATCTTACAATAAATTCCCATACAAATCCCTTTAATCTGGCTTCCAGTAGGCTGGGTTCCCTTTTGGAAAACAAGATGGAAATGACCTGAACCAAGCTTGTTCCCAGGCCACATAAAAAGTGCATTTTTCTTCATTTATTCCTGCCAACATATTCAGCATGTTTGCTGCAAAAGTGCAAAAGAAAAGAAAATCTACATTTGTCCGGCTTTCTGAGCAAAATTCTCCGCATTATCACCTCAAAGTCAGGATTTTAGATGTACAGATTGTCTTCGCTAAGAATGGCGCCAAAAAGAAGCAAAATGGCGCCAATTTCAAAATAAACAATACATATTCAAATATTAACCATACCTCTTCGGTCTGGGAATCGCTTTCCTCTTCTGAATATCTCTTTCTCGCAGCTTTCTTCTTTGGCGATTTCGTATTTTCATATCCCATCAAATAGCGATGGTCTGTAAGCATATGGACATTTAGAGTGTCGTAAACTTTTCGTCGTTTTCTTTCGCTTCGACGAATGAGCTCCGACTCGTCTAACATCTCATTGTTTCTTTTGCTTTCTCTCCGCGCAACAGACCTGGAGACTCTGACGCCTTTCCCTGAAGAAACAATTCAGTAAAGAATTTATGTTTAGGTGTAAACAGAAAACGTTAATCGTGCGGTAAAAGAGATCAACTGGGCTGAAGTACGAACTAAACTTACTCGACCTTCCTTGCGAATTTCTTGTTTCGACCGTCCGAGTTGTGCCATTTAGGATTCTAACGGAAAGAGAAAAATAGGTGAATACATGCAGGAACATGAGCAGTAACTACGTTCACACGCTAGTTGTGGTCTAAGAAACTCACCGAAGGGCTCAAAGTATCACTAAAGTGATAAAGTTACCTTAAAGATTGGCGAGTGGAGCGAGTCAATGGAACAGTTGCCAACGGAACTGTTGCCTCGAGGGACGGATATCCACGGTTTGTAAAGGCTTCCGAGCTACGCAAACGACGTCTTTTCGAAGGTAAAGGTTTTGTCTCTAATCCACTTTCGTCACTTGAAGGTTCCTTAACAGAAAAAGGATAAATTCATTCGGTGAATTTGACGCTGTGTGAAGTGAACGCGATCATGCATCACTCATTGGCGAGCTTAAACTAAACTTATGTCACCAAAACGTCGTAATAGTGTAAATTTTAAACCGGCGGACCTAGAAACTCGCTTTTTATACTCACATTTTCCTCTCTATTCCCAATGTTCTTTCCTCTACCGTTTCCAGACCGAAGAGTGCGAAGAAAAGGCAAATTTGCCCTTGTTTTTACCATAATGGTCACCTCACCAACTCGGCCATTTTTTGCGAACTGAGCTATTGTCTAACGTGGAAGTCCCGGATGTTACACTTGCTGGTACTGCAAGTATCGCAACAAGGCTCACGGCCGCTCATTCAGTAGTCAGTACTTGGCCCCGAATGAGAACAGATCGACAGAATTAATCGAACTTTAACCATCTTAACCAGGTTGCAGACAGAAAAAAAAACAACAACAACATTGATGCTTAATTCGTGGGATTGCTTATCTGTCTACGCATTAGGAAGCACTAGGTCGATCTCAGAGCTGTAACTAAGATTTCGAGTTGCCGGGTAAATCCAGTTAGGTAGGTGGCAAACTGAGCAGCAAAATTTCTTTATTCTATTTTCTTTGTGTATCCTCTCCGAGTAGCCCGGTGTCGCACCCCTAGTACTAGCCGGGGGGGAATCCCGGGCTGCCTGCGATCTACCCATACGCCCCATACGGGACCGTATGGTGTTGATTTCCGCATTGTTGATTCTAGTTTTTGTTGGGATCTCATAGCTTTATTCCACTGTGAGTTTCTTCCCATCTTACTGTCTACAACCTAACAGCCAAGCTGATTTAATAGGATTTATTAAATAGGACTATATTCTCGATCTCATCCGGGTGTCAGCTAGAAATTTCATAACTCAGTGTATTTTTAGTAACTACTCGTTGATAAATAACGCTCTTGTAAGTATAAGCATTAAAAACCACCAACAAGCTATTGATACAATTGAACAGCAGGCTGCAGGACTGGCAAAAGTCAATCGCAGGTCACTAAGTCATTGAGGTAAGAAACCCCGGCCCCTCGACCCTGGGACATATAGCGGTGGATAGTGGTGATTTAACGCGTCGGATGCCTAGACTGCGAGCAGTCTCTTATTTTTCTTTACACTTGATACAAGGTCTACCTCTAGTACCTTCCTCTTGTAAATTTTAAAGGACTTTTAGAAAGTCTAATTTTCTTTTGAGTCGCAGCAGATCGACAGCACGCGTGGGGGGCGAGCGGGGAAGCCGCGAGGAACAAGGGCGGAAGCCCCAATCTCTTCTTAGACTACGAGGACCCATTTTTCCTCAGGGGTAGTAGGGCGAGCGAAAAGCGAGCGCGCGTGAAAGTCACCCCACGCGAGAAAGGCGAGCATAAATTTGTATAATTTTACTACTTCTCTCGCCGCGTGTGGTTATGAGGAAAGAAGGACGGCTGCTCGCCGTTTAGCCGATGCCCAGATTTAACGCACATTTAACAACGTGTTGGCCCGGAGGGGGGGCAGTGGAATTGACAAAAACCTGTTTGGCCCAGTTCATGAGCGGGGATTTGACACCACAGACGCATTTTCGGAAGCTGGGATTTCACATGAGTGACCAAGGAAAAGCTTCGGTTCCCAAGGCGGTGAAGATGCGGCGACAGAAGAGAGATAATGCTGCAGAGAATGACACTAAAAACATATACAATATTTTTATTAAATCAAACTGCTTTCCTTTCCAGTCTTTGTTCTTTCAACAATCAAGCTATTTAATGTATGACGTCCATGCTAAGACAGCTCCAAAAAGTCTACTCAATAAGTTTGCGAAAAAAACATCATTATAGTGCGCGATTATCTGCAAAGGAATGTTTTTCTGTCAATTTCTCTAGAACTCAAAAAATGAAAAAATCTTTCACTAGAATTCAAGTCAAAACTCTCAACATATCTAATTTTCGTAAAAAAATAAAATCACTGCTCCTTAATACCCTAGATAAAGAAGATAATTATTCGAATGTTACTTATTTAATAGAATATTTTACGAAGTTAACATACCTCCATTGTGATTTTTAGTCTCAGACATGAAAAAGAATGGAACAAAATCAATCCGTCAACAGCAAGAGTTGAAAAAAGTTGCCGTTACTCAACAAAGAAACCAAGTGTCCAGCCCTAAAACCAAACAAAGAAAACCCGGGGAAAAGGTAAAATGACAAGGGAAAAACTTAAGAAAATAAGCAAATAGAAAGCCATGATTTCAGTCATATCTAGAAAATATACAAACACGATGATAAAACATCCGAAAATCGCATTCGATTCTTGTATGCCTGTGAAGCGCTCTTGCTTCTACAGAGGTTGCTTCACTTGGAAAAACTATTTTTGCCGAAACAGTTTCTTATAGTGCAGCTAATCTAGAGAACTTTGATTCTACAACATTTTCTTGCGTCCATGAGGAAAAACATTTCGAAAGTTTGTTTAGTATTTGGAATAATAGTTTTAAATCATTCTTATATAGTTCAGTAGTATTTGTTCATAGCACAATTTCACACGTCTAATTTGAAAAACAATTGTACATGCGAGTTGAAATCATTAACGTTTATCAGGGGCTCGTAAAACTGTGTGTATAAATAAATTCATTCAATGTCACTGCATCAGTCTAAGGGTGTTTTTGTCGTCTTTGTTTTTGCTGTAAATAAAGCCACGACAGAAATAAAATGAGGATATATAATCCCTTGCAGCTTCGCCAATGGCTACGAGTAGCGGCCAAAAGCACCCCAACACTCCTGTTCCTAAGCTTCAGGGGTGGATCCAGGATTTTTTTTTGGAGGGGGTGCGCTCGTCTCTTGCTTTACTTCAACACCAATAAACCACATAGTGTTTTTGCTTTTTTTTTTTACAGATTACCAGTTGTATTAGAAAACCGCAGGTCATCTCAGGGAGGGGGGGTGCGCACCCCCTGCACCCTCCCCCTAGATCCGCCCCTGAGCTTCGTTGCTTCTAAAACTCTTCTTGAGTAGATTTTGTTTATGGAGACATTTGGGTCCCAAAGCTACGGAGTTACAACTCTGCTTACGAGTTTAGTATAAATAGGCCTGTTTTATCCTACTTATTCCTCTTTTCGCTAGCACGGACACCAGACATGTAGGTTTGTCACCCCACCCTCCGCCACGCAGAGACGGCTCAGTCTTGCTCTCGCTCCTTTCAGCCTACAGGCTCTCCTCTTCCCGTAACTTATCTCAACCTGGGGCGTTTGGGAGTGGGGGCTCCCGGAGAGAATCTCTAACTGTTGTATGATCTAAAGTGAATTGAAAAAACGCGGCAAACAGGTTCCACTCTGGAACGTGGCCTGACGTAAAAGCGCCCTCGTAGCTGATAACAAGTACAGTCGAACCTCCACGTGCGACCGCCTGTCGTAAACGACCAACTCCCATAAGTGACCACATATCCAAAACACCAAAGATTTCCCAGTCAATAGGGAGCTTAAGCAGCGACGTTTTTGAGCGACGCACGTCAACCGGAAGTGAGGTATTTTCCCTCTTAACATGCCTTGATGATATAAAATTTGTATTCCTTAGCTTCTTTACTGTCATAGAGGCGATTTGACTGAAAATTTGCACGAAACCACCGTCAAAAAATGAAAAAAGGCCACTTCCGGTTGTCGTGCGTCGCTCAAAAACGTTGCTGCTTAAGCTCCGTAATGTCTTACAGTTGGAACCTCTCGTAAGCGACTACCACCGGCAAGCGACCGCAAAAACTTTTCGGGGCGGACGGTTACAAGAGCAGCCCGCAATCCTAATCTCCGGGTTGTTATTACGCATGCGTCGCATGTTTGTAGCCAGCATTCGTTTGGACTTCACTAAGAATGAATGGAATACACATATCACAATTTGATCACGCGCGTTTGGACCTTCTATCGCTCGTAATTTGATCACGCGTGTTACTAACGCAAAGCGCAAAAATGGAGCGAAAGCGTTTTGACTTTGAACTCCGCAACCTTTGGTTATAACTAGTTTTCTATTGTTTTCAACCTCTTGTAAGCGACCACTTCATGTTCGCTGTATGTACTGTGTCACTTTAAAGTATACGAAGAACTTTAAACGACAACACGGAACTACACGCCTATTGTAACTTAGAAATTGCATGCAATAAATTGTCTACCATCAGGTGGATGTTTCGGGACCTCTTCTCGGAAGAGACCCCCTGTGGTTCGATTCTTGTGAGCTAATACCTCCCGTAAGCGACCTCTAAGTTTTCGCACTTTGGGTGGTTGCTTACAGTAGGTTCGACTGTTATCAGGGAACACACAAAGAAGACTCAGTCTGTTCAAGTATAAAGTTATTCCAAAAGGAATACATTCAATGTTATTGATATTCCCAAATGTTACATACTTTATGGACGATAACTCTGCATTTCGATTTATAATATACATAGTAGTATTTATACACATAAAATTCAGTAATATAATATGTAATAATTCAATTATTTTGAATACCAAATCTGACATTATTTCCTTCATAATTCGCATTCATTTCAAACATTGGAACGTAACTATCATTAAATCACTCAGTGGATCACAAATTCAAAACATTTGTCTCTCTCTTTTATACTAAATACTCATTTTCCACTCGAGAGCTTGAGTCATTTTCCATTATGCAAACAAGACGATTTACAACGTAAACGTAGTTGCCTAAATACAAGAAAAATAATTTTAAATGGACAGTGCTCTTCTGTTTTAAAAGCCAGTCGTTTTCAGAGTAAGTTACTCAAACACGTGATGAAGGAGGTAGCTTGTACCTTGAAATCTTATGATGTGAAAATTGAAGTGAGACCTCTTCAATATTACTTTCGCTTGCAATATAAAGGGAGCTTAGGCAACGACCACGGCATCGAGAACGGAAAAAAAAACAAAAACCAAAAAATACCCATAGGTTTAGATTAGCAAAGCAACAAGTTTGCACGTGCATCACACTTTTTGGTACATTTCTTTGCCGTCGTTGCATGATCACGCGAAGTGAAAGCGCCTAATTTCACGTTTTCTGGAAGAACTGAACACTAGACAGCGACTTTCTAATTCTCTTTTGTAACTTAAGCCCCGTGCAAACGGACGCAACGTTGTTGGTCAAGAACTCGCAACAGTAGGGCCATTTATACGAGGAAAAATAAGACGCGTCTTACATAAGACGCGAACTTTCCGTATAAACGGCACATTTCGTCTAAAATAAGACGCCGCTCAGCTAAGACGCGTCTTATTAGATAAGACATGCTCGTATAAATGGTACAGTTCGCGTCTTATTTAAGACGCGTCTTATTTTTCCTCGTATAAATGGCCCTATTGTTGCGTCTGTTTGCACACCTAGTTGCATGTTGTTGCGTGTTGTTGCGCAAAGTTTGAAACCGGTCCGACGTTTACCTACGTGAAAACGGACGCAACAACTCCCAACATTGTTTCTTTAGATACAGTCCTTTAGAACTCAACTCCAGAAATTCACCATGGAATAAGAACGATGAATTTTGAAACAGCATGAATTCACTTTTCAAAAAACGTTTTCGCCAACGTCATCGTGCGTAGTTACTTAAGCTCCCTACAACACAGCTCCCTGTGATTGTGGCTTTTCCTAACAAGCGTTTTTAATTTTAATTTTTTTAACAGGCATTCTAAAGAGTGAAGGGCTCTATTACAATGAACAGTGTCTGGTGATAAAATACGAGATCTAAAGAACGTTCAAGGTCGTATGTGCGCCTGTTAAGAGATGAAACTTTAATTTGTTTTAATCTGAAGTGAAAAGACAAGCTTCCGAGTAGAAATTTCAAATACAACACCTGATTTATTTAGATAATTCTCTTAGTTGGCGAATGTGAGCATTCAAAAACGAAAAATGTATCTTAACGTTTTCCAGTATGTGTTTTTTCTTTCAACCTTCCCCAATGGAAATTTTGTCAAAGGCGTTTTTTGCCTCTTAAAGAGGCTAAGGTCTGTGGAGCGACAAAACATTAACAAAGGTCAACCAAGCGCAACAAGCAATTTACGTTCAATCAAGTCAATACATTACAATACATTAATAAAATAGAGCGCTTTTCGATTGAGTGTCGTAAAACCAAAACCAAAGTAATCCCAACGGCCAATTAGAACAAATGAAAATATCAGAGGGAGCCAATGAGAAATCGAAGTAAACGCATGTAACCGGCCTTAAGCGCGGGAAAACGCGAGTAACCAAGTCGCGATTGGTTTTAGTTTTGTATCTGATTGGCTTAGAAGGTGGCGCGAGTTTTCTAGACCACTCACAGAGCAGAGTAAAGCAAAACCAATGCAATCCCGGATTACTTTCGACACTCAATTGAAAATTACTCTAGTATAACTATTAAACCCTTCCACTCCCACAATCAGTTGTAGCAACATAGACTGTAAATCTAAATGTTGAGTCCAAGAACGAAATACCACGCTCCGATCACCCAAATAGAAGTAGACCATCTTAACATGTAGTTCTAACTTTTGAGTCTGTGGGTAAAATCCTATGGCGTGACCATTCTAATGTAGCATGCAAGTACAGCCCTCTCCTCTCGCTCCTCGCCACTGGACACATTTCTAGGGGCGTGGAGCCAAGAGAGAGGGCTGTATTCACAAGCTAATTCCAATGAAACCTTCTCTATTCATTCAGTATACAGTTCTAACTTTTTTAGGCCGTGAACGAAATTCTACGGTAACAATCCTCTGTGATAGTGCTTTCACATGATGCCATTCGCTTTTCGATATTTCACAAAAAGAAACCGTGGGATGTCCTTGAATTATAGTAACTTTGGGAGTGGTAGGGTTATTCAGTTACGAAGGGCACCGTTCGTTAGCTTGATTTGTTGCCACTTACAAGACAAGCCCATAATTTAGTTTTCGGACACTAAGCTGACAGCTGTGCTCTGATGACTACCATAAATGATTTGCACGTTAAGAAACAAAACGCCACACAAACTGCTGCTATTGATACAATATAAGAGCTGTACAAACAAACACTTGGCATGTATGGCGATATAACTGCATGGTGCGACCTAGGATTATGGGCGCAAGTATAACTGAAACAAAGTTTGTTGCTCTCCTACGTAAGAATCTCCAACTCAACTCTCTTATGGCCGTTACTGGCGTGTTATATCTTTAAAAAAGTATGCTTAAAACCCCAAAGATTGCAATTTAAGTTCCATTTCACCTTGCACTTGATACTAATCGTCTTCCAATCTCAACTTTTGAAGCTAAAAGTGGATGATAATATTAACGACTACAGTGACGCTTATCTTCGATAAGCCGGTCTCCCCCTTCATCTTTTTGACCAAAAAGCTGTTGCAAATGTAAGAGCACTTATGCAGTAAATCATTACTAGAGATGTCCCAGGTCCAACGCGTGGTGCAGATTGATCAAATCGCTGTGGGTTCCTATCCTCCAAAAAGGGAATCCCATCTGAGACGAAAAGAAATAGGTCAAGTTAACCTTTCAAGTCTAAAATTGCACCTATTTGTAAACTGCCCTGTATAAGGTTTCTTACCAAACACTGATGTAAATGAAAAATCTGGTTGACTTTGTCGATGAAGACATGACGTAAAGGTCATGCGTGAGATATTAGGCTGATTTAGCAACAGAACGTGAGCGTCAGTTGACGACGGCGCGCGCAAATCAAACAACTGGCTTGACCAATGGCAAAGCCGGAAATTGCACACCGGAAGTCCAGTTTAGTCCTTTCCGCGCACTTTCCTGTCGTCAAATGACGTTCGCGTTCTGTTGCTAAATCAGCCTTTTAGGGACCTCAAGACTTAACGACGACGACGACGACGATGACGTCAACGAGAACATCAAAAACCAACAGGTTTAGATTACTAAAACAATAGCTCTGCACGTGCATCATGCTTTTTTGTACATTTCTTTGCCGTCATTGCACGACAACGACGTGAAAGTGCCTAATTTCACGTTTTATGGCGGACGTAAGCAAACGAAGACGAAATTCTCTTCTTCCACTTGAATTTGAATATTGGGCGTTTATTCGAGGCTGGGGATTTTCATTCTCCAGGAGAGTTTATTTCGCAACAAAACAGTAAACATTTGCAAAAAATACGTCTTGAGTTGGAATAATAGTGGTGAAGCTTTTGAAAGAACGCCTTTGATGGGCGCTTATTCAGGCGCTAATTCGAGCGACGTTTTCGAATAAATACGGTATTAAAACAATAGCCACCGCTGCATCATGTTCTCGGATCATTGCACGACAACGTCCTGATTATTGCTGGTTTCACGTTTTATGGCGGACGTTGGTGGCAAACAACAAAAATTCTTTTTCCTGAATTGGGAACTAGGAATTCAAACAGGATTTTCGGCTACATTTGACAAATTCTTCGAGGAAAATATGGTTTGTTTTGAAACAACCCCAACCACTTTTAAGCGATGTTTTCGCCACCGTTGCTGGTTGATCAAACGTCAAGAATAAGAAAATCGCCACCAAAAGATAAACAGTAAAAGGGCTTGTTTTTGAACATTTCTCTATTGTACCATGGGATAGGCTATCTAATAGGAAAAAAGGAACTGGAGAGCTAAAATGAGAAGGCGAGAAAAACCCTACCAAGTAGAGCCAGCGACGCGAGCCGTGAAGAAACTCGTAAGGTACAATTGAATGAACTGAAGCCAACATATGATGACTACATGCGGAGTAAGGCGTGTGACCAAGTCACGCATAGCAGAGAGCTTAATCCTCATCGGTTGATATTATGGCGCCAGATTTTTAGCCAATCACAAATGGTGACAGCGTAGAACAGAATGGTAAACTTTTTCTTAGGAAACAGTCTAACACCGTTTTTTCTTTCTTTCCGAAAGTGCAAAACAATACATTACTGTTTACAAAGGGCGTCGTTTATCGTCGTTACTTAGCTATTGATCGCGACGCTGCACATTATCCACGAACAACAATATCTTTCACTACATTACTGTTGCTGTTGTTTTTACCTGCTTGCTTGCCATTTCTTCATCCCGTCCGTCGCCTACGACTACATAGGTACACTTCTTTCCGAAACGATTTGAGATTCTTTCAAAGCAGGTTTCTTTTCCTATTGAAAATGAAACAAAGCGTGAAAAAGTCCCAAGTTTATAAAGCAACTAAATAACGTAATGGACACTGAACCTTGCCTGTGTACAGCCACCCCCTCCCCTCAATGACAAAACCGGGGAGGGGGGGACTGTACACAGGCTAAGCTCATCCTTATTTTCCTTTAAGGTAAATACAACTTTAACTGACACAACCAGGGGCTTCTGAATAAGTTAGCAAAGCTCGATCTCAATACACGTTTTGGTGCCGAAGATATCGCTAGCGCTGGATAAAAACTGGCTACAAACTCTTACGGATGTATTTGAAGTTACCTGTGGCTTCAGAGCACAGATTTTCTATTCTCAGACAACTCCAGAACTACCTAAGAAGCAGCGCGAAGCAGGACCGCCTGAACAACTGCCTACTGATGCATTGTTACAAATCGATTACAGACACACGAGACACTGAAGACTGCAAACACGATTGCTTGTGCCAATGAACAACGCAAAGGGCATCTTAGAAAATCTGAGTAGGGGCATGCGTATGGCTGAGTAAAAGATGGGCCCCATCCGCCACGTTTAAAAACGCTCCGCCGCCTCTGCAGTATAATTAAACCAGTAAGTCTAACCCACAATTAGGCCAAAAATATCTGTTAGCGAGGGTTCAAAGCAAAGCAATTCCCCGAAGACAGCTATCGCAGCGTTTTACATACCCAAGTAATGGCGATCAGACTCGAGTTTAAGCTTCCCACCGATAATCGCCGGATAAAAACAGACGGTTAGACTGACTGCCTACAACCGTACCCAATAAAGAGGAAGTTAATAATGCTGGGCTTCGGAGGTTAAATTTCCGTAGTCTGGTGTCCGTAAGCAGAGGATTGTATTTAATATGTAATTAAGGAAGAAAGCCTTACCAACTTTTGTAGCACTATAAATATTTTCCAGTGGAAAAATCCCACCAAGTCCATAGAGAAGACACTTTGCAAGTGCAGGAACAAGCTGTGTTGTGGTCACCATTATATTAAGACAATTCGACCTGCAACATGAAAAAACGCACTGCTAATTAAATGGCCTACTTCTTAACTTTTTTTTAAAAAAAGTTCCAAACTCCGCCGATTAACAAAAACTCATTTACCACCCTGTAGCTTTAATCAGTGAGCAAAGATAAAAAAGAAAAACCAAATTGTTTGACAAAATATTTCATTCAAAAAGTGAGGCGGTCAAGGATTTTTTAATGTGTGGCGATTTCAGTGCGCGTGTCTTCTTGCTAAAGTTGATGTTAGGGTTAATTTCCAGTGTCGCGTAATTTTTACGCGTCGCACGTGAGCGTAAAAATAGAACCTCGCTCATCGTTACGTTTAACCTCAACACTTTATATCTTGCCTCTACTTTATTTACGTGATTCAAATTTTCGTGCCTTACCGTGCGTAGCCAAAAACGCGTCAGTGGAAATCAACCTTTACACGGGACGATTCCCATGACGATTTGTAGCGCAACACAGCGTTGAAATGTTGGAACAATGTTGTAACTATTCGAAACAATGTCGCAGTTATTGACGGTAAGTAGACCTTATACACGATACTGCCATCTTCTCACCCGCTGTAGGATCGATGGCATAAAAGCAAGGTCACGTGGAATTCCAGAGGGCAAACAAGTGTTAAAATTTGCCAGTACGAGTAATCGCGGTCGACTTTGTTTATTCTGTAAAAACGAGACGCAATTTAATAGTCATACAAAATGTACTGTTCGAGTTTCGACAAGATTTACAACATCACTGCTTGCTGTGAGGACATCTACGGTCGCTGCTGCAATCAATAAAGGAACAATGATCATTCCACCTACAATTTGCCATTATCGTCTTTAAGATGAAAAGTTCTTCATTTTCTGTTGTCTAAAATAAACAAAGTCGACCGCGGTTTCATGTATTAGCAAATTTTTTCACTTGTTCGCCCCCCGTCAAACCACGTGACATTGCTTTTATCCCATCAGTGCTTGAGGGCGTGCAAAGATGGCGGGCATCTTGAATAAGGTCTATTAGTCAGGAAACGGCTGGAAGGGGAAAAGAACTAACTTTGAGTTTGCAAGGAGGTTTTATAGCTTGAGTGCACGAGACTCCAGGTTAGGCTACAGGCTACAGGTTATAGGCTATAGGCTACAGGTTTTCACCAGCGAAAAATAACTGCAATCGTCAAGAAAACCACTACTACTAGTTGTAGCGACATGGTAGGCAGTGACCTTCTGTTTTGAACACTCTTCTTTGTTTGCTACGCAGTACTCACCTGGAATGTATGAGTGTTAATGCTTTCAAAGCAAGCGTCAACCACGAATCTGTAATTGCCTCCAATTCCATTCGTAACTGCAACCACGTTTCTCTTTTGGCTGGACCAAGAAGACCTTTAAAGAGTAAAACATTAATTTAAATTAAAACAACAACAACAATTTAAATACCAGCAACTTTACTAGAAGGTATCACTAACACCAACGCCTGATCCTGGCCACAACATCGGCAAAATGTGCTCACATGATAACGCAACAGGCAAGAGATATACCCTACATGCAAGCAAAGGTTACCTGTCCAGCTTACTCAAAGGAAAATTTTGTCTCCGTTACCATTGTCACTTAATAATCAGAGGCAGTATGGGAAGTCGAAGTTTTCATTTCTACTCCTTTGCAGCTGGAGTGTTTCTTCGCCTCTTGCCAGTAAAAATTCCAAAGTATTATATTTCAATTTGAAAAGCGACAGTTGAAGGTCATACACTCGCTCTTACAGGACACTTAGCAGTGCGCGGAGCCTCAGTGTTCCAGGATTTCAGAGGGAGGAAACGGCACCAAGAGATATGAGCAGGAGAAACAGCGAGGGGTGGGGTGGGAAGGGTTCGTACCCTTTTCTAAACTAAAAACTCAACGACTTTTCAAGGACTTTCAAAAACACATTTCCCATTTTCCAAGGACTCCATTCAGTGCAAAAAAGAGCCTTGAGTCTATGTAGTTTTTAGTTCTTCCACAACATGAGTAATTTTATCCTGAAGGTCTTTCTGTGTTTGCTCCGTTAGGCACTTGAGAATCTGGGTTGGATAAAGTTAGCACCGAAATTCAAGGACTTTTTTCCATCACCCGCTGCAATTGTCAAGGACCTTAAAAATCTTGAATTTTTATTTTAACATTTAAGAATTTTCAAATAAACTGACAACTTCAAAAAATAACAATAATGCACATCAGCTCCTACTTACCTCCCACATTATTCCTGTAACTGTTGTAGATCTCCTTTATCCGCCTGTATCTGTAAGCTAGTTTCCTCATCCAGTCTACTCCGCCTCGGACGCCAGTTGCCAGGCACAGGTTAGCTGATGTCGCGGCAGCATGGAATCCATCTCCCTCAAAATTGTAGGTACTGCACACATGCAAAGAGGTTCTGGAGTGAATATTGGATTTCCTTGATTAAGCGCCTCTGGCGCTTATTTCAAACGTCTGACGACTTGACGGCCGGGGTGGGGAGTCGGGGTTGGTGAGGGTAGGACATGAACTCTTTACTTAAACAACACCACCTGGCTTACCGGTCGTTTCGATACAAGTTGATTCATTTGAGGTGTAAATAATTTTGCGTAGTTGGCTTATAAAACGATAAATTTTCACGGCATAATTTTTTCTTGTTCCCGCACTTCCACCACCTGTAGTCCCAAGAAATCGGGCATGATTTTTTTTATTCCTAAATAAAACCACAACTTCCAATTTTTGTCCATACATTTGTAGATCGTAGAAATCACTTCATTAAAGACCAGTTTTTCTTGCTGAAAATTAATTATTTTTGCAATTTTTAGCAAGCTGTATAACTATTTTTAGCTAATATAAACATATGTGCAGGCAAAAATACACAGAAACAACGTCCAAATGTATCTGTACGTTCATTAAGTAATTGCGGCTAAGTAGTTTATGTGATAAATTATATGCCTTAAATTGTGAGTTCGATTGCCCTGATTCAAGCTGGTATTCTCCACTTCAAAAACTCTCGGAAGAATGGGTACAAGCTTTGAATGCGGTGATTTCTGGGATCGCTTAGGTGGACAAGCATTAGTTATGATTGGTTGATGTGTAACCAATCATACTTTCGAACGCTGAAAAGTAACACTTTAAGTGTTCTTCTCTCAGTAAATGGATTCCATTATTAATATTACCTTAGATCTAATCCGTTATCATCTGCCGCAACATCCTCGATATGAACTTGATCACAGTCCTTGGAGTAAAATACAAGAAAAATGAGATGACTTCGACTGGTTTAACTAAAAATGTTAGAAAAGGGATCACTGAATAAAATAGCTAGACTTCAACTGAAACCTTGCAAGGACATTCAACTTTCTGGGCTCTTACCTCTAAATCATTAAAAAATAAATGAGTATCTGCTAAATTGAAAATCATTTCTTCCATGCGAAGTCCTAAAGACACTGAGTTAGGTGCATCCTATGCAAAAGAGAGAAATACCAAGAGTCAATCCACAAATAACGGGGATCCTTTCAGGTTACTAATGCCTGCGAAGAGACTTCATTACTGTTCGCTTGTTACAGCATACCACCTTGAATTAAAGACCCATTGTCACTTCCTGTGAGGAAATGCACCTAGTCCATTCTGATTTCAACAAACGAGCTGAGTTAGCTCAGTAAAGTCTCTTGTCTGACCAGTCAAAATGTTAAAAATAACACGATAAGCCCAAAAAGCAAAAACACAAAGTGAAAAACGACTCTCCGCCTGGTCACTAATATACATGTCCGGTCAAATTTGTCCGGTCAAATTGACTGGCAAACTAGAAGTTTGTCCAGACAAACTAATGGTCACTTGGCTGGACATTGTTTGCTGACTGGTTGTTATTTTGAACCATGTAAAGGGAAGACCTCTGTTAAGTATGCAGTTTGAATGACATACAGACTAACCAAAATATATGCATGCTTGCTGTAAATCCTTGAAAATAACCCTCAAAAACGATGTTCAATAGAACAGGGCAACCATCTTACCTTGCCAAATTTGGAAGCAAAGGTCCCAGTTAACAGTGAATGGAAAATGATAATGGTTTCATCAAGATCCCAAATAAAAATACGCTAAAATGTAAAAAGCACATACAGTTAGATGAAAAACAGCGAACAGAGGTGTAAAAATGGGAATACAATCAAACTTGTAGCAGTCACCCTCTTTATAGTACCAGAGATCATTTCCCTCAATCACTATAAAACTGACCTGTACTAAGGGGTCACCTCAATTAAGTGGTCGCAATCACCTTTTTCGAGGTCCCAATGAGTTAATTTGCATTGTCTACACCTCTATTAGACGGTCACTTTGACAGTTTGTGCCACACTAGTGCAACAGAAACAGTGTGAATGGCATTTATTGGTCTGATCCAATTTCCTTTTTTGGAGGGCACAAGAAGAGGTAGAGGCATGTTGAGGTCGTTTTGTAGTGAGACAGATATTTTGCTCTTTCACCATCCTTATTTTCTTGAGTAAGTCTTAGGTTTGCCACACCCGTATTAAATGGTCAACCTGCATTCAGTGGTCAGTAAGCCATTTCTCAAGGGGGGCCACTTAATACAAGTTTGACTGTTTATTTTTTCAAGACATCAAAATATATTTTTATGCCTGTGAAAAACTTTTGGGCCAAGTGTAGGAAGGTAAAGTGGTATGAACCACAGATTACCCAAACAATCAGCAGGTAACACAGTTCCTGAAGCATGATGCAGCCTGAAGCATCTCTACTCTCCTTTTGAAAGTGAGATGAAAAGGGATTTATTATATACCTCCAGCATTAGGTGCCAATATTCACTAGATGGCAAATATTAATACCGGGGGTACTGCCACCTTTCATTTCTCCCAGCTGCCAGGGCATTCAAGAAAGAAAGTTAACATGCACAAAAAATGACGCCAAACCAGGCCGAAAGGAGACTCTAGATGTAGCAATTTCATGCAAACAAGCAAGAAGTGAATGCCAGGAGAAGAAATTGCCATTATGAGCACTACTTAGCAAAGTACAAAAAGATAAAACAAAATACAAGGCTGATGGGACAGCTAAAACTTGTAATGTTTTCATCCTATACATTTCAAAGAGACCAAAGAACTCACCTTCAGCAGGGACAGGAAGAGCTACTGTGTAAGTAAAAATAAGCTGCCCAATGAGCATTCCGCTTGGTCTTATCTTTTATTAAATATTGCTGATCCCAGGGTCTACATCACGTTCTGGCTTGACTTCACTGCTGTTTCTCCAAGAGGTCCTTCCATTACAGAGAGTGTATTTCAACCCCCCCAACCCCATTCCCCTTTTCCCAGCTGGGCATACTGGTATTGCTACATCATTTATTTACAGGAAGATGCCCATGACATGTACGGATTTTCCCAAACTAGTCTATAAAAAAAATTGAAAAAACTAACGTGGAAAGATGCTATTACCTCAATGTTATGGTCAATCTCAGGTGGTGGTCCAGAAGTTGATCTTCTTCCCCTGCCCCCTCCACGGCCTCTTCCACCTCTTCCTCCACGACCACGCCCTCTATTCCCTCCCTGAACTAACATCCCTGGTGAGGTTGTCCCTGAATCAACAAGGGTTTGCACCCCACCTACTCCATCTTGTCCAGGCATTCCGACATTTGCAGACACTAAAGCCACACTGGTGAGAGAGTTCTCTGTTCCTGTCACTGGTGAGTGAGGAGGGCTAGGGGTCGATGGAAGGTTGGGCGAATACTGAATGGCGGCATTGCCTGAGTATTAAAGCATAAGAAACACATCTTTTACTGGTAACTAAAGAGCCAAAGAACATAGTATTTTCAGGTTTAGTAACAGCTTCACACCATGCTCAGAGATTCCAGCCTCTTCAGATCTGAAATCTGGATGTTTTCTCTTCTTCCCTATCCCTTCATTCTCATTAACCCATCAAACATGTTCCCTGTGGTAGCTTACTTGCGCCTCCCCCTGCCTCATACAAGTACTTGTCCACAATCAATCCTGACCCCACACAACTGGATAATCATTGGTTAGAAACCAACTAATTGTGAGATTTTATTGCATAGGGAACTGGTGTGAGTTTCAAACTTAAACTAATGGATAAACTAACACCACCATACAAAAGGTCATGTTCAGATTGGTTGTTTGTCAAAGTTGAACAAGGATCAAGATATATGACTCTTGAAACATGGTTAAAGATCCATACAAACGTCTGTAATTTTGTGACAGTGTCCCCAAAAACAATATAAACTCTTTAAAATATTTTTTAGTTTTTCTTTTTAACTGTAAAATTCGTCATGCATCTACTACTTGGAAGGAACTAATTTGAAAATCACTATGTTTGCCCATTTTCAGGAATATCACAGAAATCGTGAAAAAAATTAAGAGTTTATATGGTTTTGCGGGACGCTGTCACAAAATTACAGACATTTGTATGGATCTTTAACCATGTTTCAAGAGTCATAACTTGATCCCTTTTCAACCTTAGAGCACCAACCTCCACATCTTATATGGAGATGTAAGCTTATTGATTAGTTTACATTTGAAACTCGCCCCAGTTCTCTACGCAACTCCGAAATGGCCGATAAAAATATTATATTACATACTGATCTCTAAACAGACATAAAGTTGAGAGTATGTTCTACTACAAGCTTTTTTTTCATGTCGTAAGCCACACTAATTAATATGCCCATTTTTAATATTTACCCCTCCTCCTCCTCCTCCTCCACCCACATCAAATGCAGTGACTGTGTTTGGTGGCAAATTACTTTATATTTTCACCCAGAGGGGTAGTTCTTGTCTGAGGAACAGACCCCCTTGGCTAATCTAGTTTCATTCTGTAGGGCAACCCATCTAACAGAAACTCACTTGCATCTAAGACTGACTGTTTTTAAGTATATGATATCTGATTTAGTGCATGCAGAATGTTTTGCAGCATATAAAGCTGGCCAAAAAAAATTATACATATCTTTTTTTATTCCTGCAAAGTCTTAAAAAATTATGACCCCTACCTTCTGACCCTCCAAGCGCCTAGACATATAATCAGTAACCCCATGGGGTCTAAACAGATTGTTTCCTGATGCTTTATGAGATAAGCATAATACAATTTCTTATGTTTCCCTTCACTTCACACAATCACTCATTATTAAAACTATCAGGGATGTCTACACAATATTCAGCACAACAAACTGAGTAGCAATTCATGCCAATAAACCTATTACAATGGCGTTTTTTTCTTTTCGGACAAAATTCCTTATTTATTCCTCCTTGGAAGAACACATTTTACAAGACAAAAGTCTGTGAGCATGACCAAAGCCTGTTTTACATAAAATTGGAAAGACCTACTTTAAACTACTTGTTTCTATGAGTATATATGTACACAATGACTCCTTAATGTCTGCCAAAAGCTTTCAGGACGCCAACAAATAGTATGTGGCTTTAAGCAATTAATTCTCACATGTAGGCAAACTAAGACCCAACTTTGTAGTTTTTATTAAAGAGATCATCTCTTAGCAAAAACCAAACAAAGAAGAAACACATTTCCTCTGTTTGGCAAACTTCCTGGATGGTTAAATAATGTTTTGTAAAAGCATCAATTAAACACTGCAGATGTGTGTGTACATGTGTAGTTGGAGTTAAGTTGTTTTTCTATTGTTATTTTAATTGACTCCATGGCATGCACTTACTGTTGAAAACATCTGTTTGTTCATGCTAATGGTCTCCTTCCTTTAAAAGTTTACTTTTCTCAAAAGCATTAAAAATAAAGGATTCTTACTCCAAAAACATTAATGAAACAATGAAGAAAGCTTCAATTAAATTCATTCCCAAGCTGAATAAATCCAGCAGGCATTTTAGTCAAGTTTGCAGTTGAACTAAAAATACAAAAACAATACTCGAAAGCAACATATGTGTTGCTAATGGCTTCTATGCCACCAAAGAGGTCTTAATTAATTCATTACAAAGTAAAGTAAACATTTGGCACATCAAATGGATTTCCATCTAAACAAATGCTCCACAGAAAGGAACACATGCCAACATGCATTAAAAAAGAAAAAGTAGAGAAAATCAGTCCATTTCAGCTTTGACAGAAACTGCTCTTTTTCCTCCATGCAGCAAAGTGGGCTTTCTCTAACAATGCCCTTATAATCTTCATTTCCTGATTAATTAATTTTGTTGATAACATCATTCTGTTTTTGTAAACCCAAGCATGACAGGATATTATATTTTGTATTTTTTACATGCTGAAAATTATTATTGAAAAACAACTGGAACACCTTCAATTAACATGTTAAAAAAATCAGAGAGCTAAAAAATTGCACTCTGCAACATTCTTTCAGTACAATGATATTATACAGTACTATTTTTTTATGTTAACTGTTTGGAACATAAAACATGTTTGTGACCTCAATAAAAAGAAACTACTGTTATCAGTCTCTTAACCCTTAAAGTTGCAAGAGTGACCAACATCGTTTTTCTCCAAAAACTATCAAACTATAATCAAGAAAAAAAGTAATGAGAATCAATCGAATGATCGCCAAAGGCCAATTTCATCAAATTTTCTCAACCAATTCTGTAAGGAAATTTATGGAGAACAGGCTGGAGAATTTGTATGGGGGTATTGGGGCTTCAAGGGTGAAATTAAAGAGTACAATTATTTCAGTTATCCGTATAAGCACCGCAAAATTTACCACACACTTTTTTGGGGTAAAAGATAACTGAATAACACAGCATGAAAGAAACTGTAGCAATGAAATATAACGATGTAACCAAATTATTTTTAAAAGGCACACAATAGAAAGATGGTCACATCTGCAGTAAAAAAAACATCACTTCAAAAGTCTGAGACAGCTGATAAAAAAGCTATTAGCTTATGACTGAATGAACAAAATATTATTTTGTCAGAGAATAAATACGTGTACGGCTCAGCTCACTTGAGCAGACAACTTTTTATGGCTGATAAGTAGCAAGTTGCTGCTTCTTCATATCTTCCACAAAAAATTAAAAAGCAGTGTTAAAAATCCATGCAGTAAGGGCAATGTTCAGGGTCATCTCTTGTTGTGAAAGTCATGTTACAATTAAGCAAAAGTGAGCATCCTTTGTTGATACAACTACATGGTCGTTTATCTTGAAAACAGGCAGTTTGAGTGCAGCAAAAGCAAAGGAGACTACAACTCAAATTGCTTATTCACGATCATCTGATGAACAAAACAGGATTTTTGTAAAGGGAAAACAGATAACAAATTCCCTCAAGTATTTACTACATGTAGATAACTAAATAGATTTTCGTCATCACTATTGTTTTGCATTAAATGATTGTTTTTGATCATAAATAGATATTCCGTACTTACAGTCAAACAGGGAAAACTGTGAACACCAGAAATATTTCTGGGATGTTATTGTGTTGCTAGGAAAAAGCCAATCAGGCTTAAGAAACTAAACTACAATCAAGAATGTTAATTAGTTTGAGGTTTTGTGGACAGTTCGTGTGCCCTGATTTTTGCTGTGATTGGTCGTAACACAATAAAACATTCCTGAATTATTTCAAGTGTTCACAGTTTTGCCGGTCTGACTGTAAAAGTTCAGAGCAACTAAATTAATAAGATCTCTAATGCAAGACAGCTCAGGTAAAACGCCCTAACATGTACGATCATGACTCTGTAGGCTTAACAAAAATCGATCTTCTGTTAATTGACAACAATAATGGTAAATGTATGTTAACTGATACAAGAATACAGCTGAGCGGGCAGTCAGTCACAATTAATTAACTTAGCACTTCTAGCAGTTGACTTTAAAAAAACAGGGAAATTGCTGTCTTCAACAGAGGCAGTCAAATCTCAATAAATTGTTGGCAAATGGCAATGCGCTCCCTACAGTGTTTATACTTATTCAACTCTTGTTATAGCAGACACGCTCCAGATCAGGAGATACATGTACAGTCCTTCTTAGAGAGAGTCGCATTGGAAATATTTCTGGAATGTTGTCGTGTAGCAAAGAATAATCAGGCCAATCAGGCATGAGAAAACTAAACCATGGCATCAACAGTAATTTATAAGTTAGTGGTTTTGTAGTCAGCTTGTGAGTCCTGATCTTTGTTGTGATTGGTCACTGAACAATCAACATTCCATGGGTTTGAGCCAGGCCGCGCCATTGCGCCAATCCCGCACTGCAATTGAAATTGTCCCTTTAAAAAACGGCCAAGGGGACAATTTGTCCCCTTCAAAATTTAGGGAAAAAACTCGAAAGGAAGCACACACGAAGAGATTTATTTCGGTACAGAAGTTGCAAGCTGAAACAGAACGTGGAAAGTATATTTTATCGCACCTTTAAAGTTCATTCCAAAGTTACGTTTCAGTCACGCTCTACTGCTATTTTTGTCGGAAATCTGAGACAGGGCTTCTGATTTTTCGCGCGGTCACGGAGCCGCGTAATTCGGTAGAAATCTTATCAAATACATGTCTGTACAACATATTTGAAACTTATTTCAGCTATAGGGGCTATTTACTTGCCGTAAACTTGCAAATTTGTCTTGGAACTTTGTTACTGAAACGTGCAAACAGATTATGTTGCGAAAAACTGGGTACTAGCCATCATGTTAAAGGCTTTGCCATTGGTTCATTTCTGGAGCGTACTGTTGTTGAAAGAGCAAATGATGACCTCTGTTAGAAAAACGTTAAAAAGGCTGGTCTGATCAGTGCAAAACCGATCAATTTCTAGCGAACTTTGCCTTGAAAATAACCACAAAATCGGCCGTTTTTTACTGATTGCTTTTCGGTGAAGTTTGCCCCGCAAACGCTCGCGAAATCGGCCGATTTTTCCGCGAATTTGTCCCTAAAAATCCTGCGAAATTTGACTTTTTCGTCCGAGACCTATCAGAAGCCTTGCTAAGAAGGAAGGGTGTACAAATTTCTGTCCCCCTAAAAATGAAAATGTCCCCCAAAATTTTAGCCAAGGGGACAAATTGTCCCCCAGTGATCAAATCCTAGCTCAAACCCTGCATTCCCAACATACTTTAGGTGTTCACTGTATTCTGAGACTGACAGTAACTGACGCTTGAACTGATTGGCTAATTAAGTCAAGATGTCGCTGGTCATCTGTCAGTTAAGGGATGAAGTTATAGGCTGTTAAAGCTCAAAAATTTTAATGTGGGAGGTGCATCTTGATATGTTTCCTGTTATTGCAATATAATTATACATGTTGTGGTAAACGACAATGAATCAAGACAATTAAACAAACATTATTATTTATCAAATACCTGTGCTTGCAGAATGGTTTCTTTCTCCATTAGTGGTTACAGCTTGATTTGCCTGTCCTGATACAAGCTGTGTGAGTTGGTAGGTACTGGTCTGACCAGCCACAGCATTGGGAGGTGCCGTATTGTTTATCTGCGTGATATATTGGGATGGCGAATATGCTGGTGGTGGAGTGTTGAGATAGTTGTATGGATAAGTTTGTGGATTAGTACGGTATCCATACTGAAATGAACCCTGCTGGTCTGACTGTTGAACAGAATATGCAGTGGTGCTAGTAGTTGGGGTTCCTGTAGATACTACGTATGTTGTCCCGTAAGGTGCTTGATATGGATTACTATATACTGCTTGTCCAGTCTGGATAATAGCAGGGTATGTAACAACAGTTCCATAAGGATTGCCATAAGCTGGATTTGCTGGTTGTCGAAGCGTCGATATGTCTGGAATGTTGCCTACATGGCTTTCCCCTTGAGAAACATTCCTATTGTCAGCTGCTGTTTTTGCAGCAGCTGGATTCACAGCTGGATATCGCACAGTCTGTACAGCCATGGGGTATCCTGGTTGGGGTCCAGTTTGCGGGTACACATACCCAGCAACCTGGGCAATTCCAGTGCCCTGAATAACACCACCAGTAGTCTTATACTGCTGCATCCCCTGCTGAGGGGCAGGAACAATATGAGGATAAGGACGCTGGCCATAGTAGCCAGCATTATTGGCAGTGTACTGTCCTTGAAGCTGCTGGTACTGACCAGAGCTGTCCGTTACTCCAGTCACAATGGTTTGATTTCCAAAGCCACACCCATCTAAGTTTGTCATGGTGGTTGACCCATCTGATGCGGGATAGCTTAGTGCTACCGTGGATACTGGTGCTACAACATTTGGTCCTCCAACTCCGAGATCAGCACTGGTCACGGTAATGGTAGATTCATTTCCATCCCAGGAGGAGTCATTCTTCTCTGATTCATGGCATGTAATGACACTCGTCATCCCAGAAGATGGTTTGCTTTCCCTCTGTGGGCCATTTACTGGACGATGAGTAGGAGATCCGCTTTGGCTTGAATCATCACTGCTGTAAACCAAAGTTTCTGTTTTAGTTACGTCAAATAGAAAACTTATAAATAAGACAATTTTATACCTGAATGTAGTTAAATCAAGATTAAACTGAGCTGTATGTTACATCAACACTGTACCCTGATCAAAAAACAACAGTAACATTTTACCTCTCCTTCTCATCATCACTGTTCTCTTGCCTGGCTCTTTTTGCCTAAAATGGAGCACACATTGTTTAAGGACAAGTTCCTCAGTTACCAAGGTAAGTGCAAAGTCTTTGATAGAAAAACGACTTTTCTAATTCTAATGTAAAGAAATTCATTTTCACAAGAAAGGTTTTTGACTTGATCTTGAATGGCTTACATACAGTCCACTTACGGTAACTTACAACCTCTATAACTCAAACCTCCTGCTAACTCGAAGCAATTTTCAATTCCCTTCAGATCGTTTTCTATATAATTTTACTCTCGATAACTTTAACTCCCAATAACTCAAACATTCTTCTCTAAGGTTTGAATTATCCCAATGTAATATGTAACTTTTATTAAGCAATGACAAACAGATTTCATAAACCTGAAACATGAAACAGTCTCCATGTAGATTTTGGTTCTCTTTACTGCAATTTTCAAAAACAAACAAATTCTGATGTTTAAAAGCCAACCAATGCTTAAGTTCTTTGCTGCTGTCCGTCACTTTAGACCTCTTAGGAAACAGAAGTTCACTTCAACGAATTCAAAAGTTCATGGTTTGTGATTTGTAATTGGTGTGTTTCAGCAAAAAAACGCAATTGTAAGCTGGCTTTTAAATTTCAGAGTTTGCATGTTGTTGAAAAGTGCAGTAATAATTTATCTTACTGGCACTGTTTCTAGGACACTGCTAGATTCTGACTGCACTGGATCTGTTGCCATCACCTACAAAAAATTTCAAACTACACATTATCGTCACTGTTGGATGGCACATAAAAGGAAAACATGACTTTGTTGTACAGCCCTCTGTGATTGTTTTGGTCGCCACAGCAAGAAAATATTGGCGACTCAAATTGCAGTAAAAGTGGCCAAATCGGCAACCTGTCCTTAAATTCAATTCATTTAACCTTAGCTGTCTAGGAGTTAAGTTCTGAGATGTCATGTCCACCTCCATATCCAACAATGGGCAGCCATTTTGATCATTTCTGAAATAACTGTTCCTTTAATAATTCAACACAACACAGCCCTTATAATCTACCTGGTGACCATTCTACAATTTTAGGTCATCAAAACGCAACTTTGAAAAAAGCTCACCTAGGAACACTGTTGAAATTCTTGGGAAATCAATAGTTTTTTTAACATTAGCAAGATATTTAAGTTTGGACTAACAGTACAATTAAGATTAACTACAAGTATGGCCTTGAAATTGCAAACTACCTGTGTTTTTAGAACTTTAAATCATTCTTGTTGTTAACCAGCCAACGAAAAAACTTCATGCTGATTAGATTTCCTGTTACAGCTCAAAAATCTTGGAATGAAAACTCACACTCACACTCCGACTTGCACTTACAGTCCTGGCTCCAGTACTGTTGTTCCAACGCTGGATAGTGCACTATCCACCTTTTCGAACAACTGGAGCCAGAAGCCAGAACTTGTGCTCAAAGGAATGTGGGAATGGCTTGGTTGGATTTTGTTTAGAAACTCTAAGACCACTATGATGCAGAAATGTGATGATAATTACAAATGGAGTCATTTGTCACCTGCACCTAGCTAAATTACTGATAACACTCATGTGGACACTGAAACAGTATGGTAGATTTTCAATCAAAGATAAATGCATCACATCAAATTTGTGTGTTAACATTTGGGTGTCTATAAAACTGGGCCCTGTCTTTGTGTTGCCACATCTATGTTCCTCCTGTTAGAAAGCAGACTTGGCTTTAAAAAGTAAACCTTGCAACATGACAAACAAGAAACAAGAATTGAATCTAACAGGAGGAACAAGGATAAAAATCATTCAAGAAAACCTTAAGATCATCAGGTTAAGTTTCAGCTAAACAAAGTTTAACTGCTTACAATATATCTTGGTTCATTTCAGCATTCATTGAAAATTTTATAAAACAAGAATATATCATATTAAGCTTTATATTTTCAATACATTAATATCTTTATTGACAGTTGTAAAAAAATTAAGAAAAATATAGTGACAGAATCATAATATTGGAACACAAGAGTCCAAACATTTTGTGGATACAGAGACTTTAATTTAAAAAAAAAAGGGTTATAATATTATAAACAACTAATTAACTGAGCAAGTTGATGAAAATGGCTAGAAACTTTTCCAGAAGCAGTACTTTGAATTAAAAGACAAAAAAAATTGAACTAGTGCCCATTAACATATTAAATTTAACAACAAATTAAAGTTTATAATTTAATTTAATACCTTGTGCCTCATGATGGGGTAAAATCTAGAACCACAAAGAAACATTTGACCATGCGTCTGAGTATGTCTTCTTCACAGTTAAGCTTGAAGGAACAGAAGCAAGTTAAAAATAGGAACTGTTTAACTCAACAGGGTAAAAGGGTCCTTATTTAGAAACCTGTTCATTTTAAAGATTTTTATACCAGTCGATACAATGTTTATCTTACGATTTAACTTGTTATTATTATTTACGTAAAACTGAGAAGGAATAGCTGTGAAGGAAAGTTTCTTTAGGGGGGGCCAACTGGGTCAACAAACATGTTTTTTTTCGGTTGTTGTTGTTTTTCCTTACGTGAAATACACTGGGATACTAAATGTTGTTAAGAAGGCTGAAGGTTGCTCACATCAAAATCTAATGTACAGCAGTCAAATAATCACAGCAAAAAACTCGGTTTTGATTTACAAGGAAATTTTCTTGAGATTAGACTGAACATTTATTTTAATTATTTAAACACTAGCAAAAGTAGACAGCTGTACACTGTAAGTGTATTTCAGGCCACCAAGATAGCCCTGCTCTACGATTTCAGCTTGCTCTTAAAAACTCCACATGTGGACCACCACCCAGCATCAGTTTGCAAACAAAGTTGTGAGTGATAGCCGGAAGCTAATGGATTTCGTGATTGGGTAAGTGAATTCTGTTCTTAACTTGCCTGACGAGCAAGTGAAATTTTTTTAGAGAATTAAATTAAAGAAGTACTGTAAGACAAATTTCTGGTAAATTCATGTGGACTGTAAGCTCTTTCACATGTTGTTCTGACAAAGCAAAATCTGCAAAAATAACCCTGTCAGCTGGGGTCATATTTTGTCATGTAAACATTTCAAGGTAGGGGGATATAACCACCTAGCCAGGGTTGGATTCCTGTAACATCAAATTTGTTGACTGGACTACTAACTGCCTTTGGCGAAAAGACAGTAACCTAGAGACAGTTCACCCTGGGACGGCAGGGTTGGAATGTAAACGCAGGTTATTTTTTTACCCCAGCTGAGCAGGTTACCTCACCTACCTGGAGTCCCCCACCTCCATGTAAAGAGGCCAAGGTTAAGCCCACAACTGTAAAATGGCCTCATGTAAGAACAGATGAGTTTTACTCACCACATGCAATATTTTCTTCCAGCTTTGCGCGGCAGGTTTGTTCATTTTCATGAAACAAAAACTTCACTCCCTCCCCAAGTAAATTCTTTTTATTTTTGCTACCAAAAACTCCAAAGGAGTTGTGCAACAAGAAACCCTTACAAGCTCCCAGTTGTAATCATAGGGATGTGTGTTTTGTGACCACTTTTTTGTGGTGCCACTGGGTTTTTTCTTAACATTCTATGCACCCAAAAGTAGTTTAAAATAAAAAATAATCTCTTGAAAACATGTTTGCTTTTTGAAACTATTTTAAAATAATTATTTCACCTTTGTTTTCTTTGCTCTAAATTTTCTTCCTTCATGCATTTCAATGACAAAATAAATCACATGGTGACATAGAGAATCTGCTCACAAAATTCAGTCACAGAGTACTGATTTCAAGTGGTTCTGCTGACCAGTATAATAAAGCTATATCACAGGCTCAGCACTTCCCATTGAGATCACATACTGCTTAGAAAGTTACCACTGACCTATCAATATCTTTTAATTCGATTATTATTTATAGACTTGAGTATTTTTAGTTTTCTTTTACGAGTTTTAAAGTTTGCACCAAGTAAACTGTTTGTGCATGTATCTATTTTGTAAAATGATATTAATTCTCTTTGGAAAACCAATTAAAATATTTGATTTTGTTCACACTGCACTGAAACTCATCGGCAGGTAAATATCAAGGACTCAATGTTGTAGGATAAAAGAGTCAAGATCTAGTCTACGAGTTAATATCCATGGTACTGCGAGTCACAGTTGGAGCCCTATAACGTTTCTGAACATGATAAATCGGTTCAACACGGTTTTTTGGTTTGTTTTGTTCTGTTACTTTGCTGTTGTTGTTGTTTTGTATCAGAGAGACCAAGAGTTTCATTGCCGTTGATGATGAAATAATAATAGAAATACAATATTAACAGATTTAGATACACCTAATTTCACTAACATTTTCTTCAAGAAAAGCAAAAATAACCAAATTATATAAATTCATTAGTCTTGCAAATTATGTTTTGATATTTTCACAGTCACAAAATACCAGTACTTCAATTTTACATCCAACATTAAAATATTGGCAAGGTGAATGGGCTACTGAAAATATGTTTTCTGCTTCATTCTTTAGTAAGACCAGATCCTTACATGTAGTGAGTGTGCCTAATTTATCTCCTATTTAGGTTTTTTCAATTTTCTTGTTTTCATTTTTCTATGACAAAGTTATTGCAATTAGGTGTATATACGTATGTATATACATTGGCAACAGGTCCAAATTAGACTTGTGTCAATCCAAGTTAGCACTAATAATTTTTTTAATTAAGAACACGTTCATCATAATGTCAGTTTTTTTAAGTGGCTATTTATTTATCGTTTTAATTCTCTTTTTCAATTTTATACCCTAAACCTACACAACAAAGTTAATGAGACAACTTCATGGAAAAAATAAGTCTTTCATGGTAAAGGAAGGGCCTTCAATAATACTGTATTTAATCTCAGATTAACATTAACGTTATTTATTGGCTTTGAAGGAATGTGACCCGGAACATGTGACTGGGTTTTTGTTCCCAAGGGTGGTATGGTTCAGATCAAGAGAAAAACAACAGCAGAAAAAAAACACTGAAAAGTTAGCAGCTGTATGTTGATGCTGGTTCATGAAATTTCTACAAATAGTATGTTATGAGCTCCCTTTTTAACTTCACAAATGTGCCATTTTCTCATAATCACCCACTTTCCACCTAGCAAAAAAAAGGAGTTTCAACTCTAAGATGTGAACATCCTTGAAAGAGACCCACACAGCTCCACTCTACTAAACAAAACAAGCCCTACCTGAAAAGCCCTCAATCTAAAGATAGTCCATGGACCAATATATAAACAATAAAAATAGGTTAAGAAGCCTTATTAAAAAAACCCAGGGATTGAATTCCAAATTTAATAGTTTAACATTGGCTCTAAAGTTTATTGTTTGCCTAATAGCTGGTGCCTTTATACACGAAATTGAACTGCATTAGACAGTTTAAATTGCTTATTTATTATTCATAATCTTCTAAAGCTCCCAAGTAGCATATAATGACCCACTAAAAATCTCATTTTATTACATGAATAATGAAATGATCATGCAGTGATCCAAATATTTGACATCAACTCTAACATTTTATTTTATATAGATTAAGTTCTTTCACTCTTGAATCTGTTTAGAAGCGTTCTGTAAACAGATACTGACAGAATCAGACTGGGAAACTCAACCACCTGAGGAGAATTGTCTGGCTCCTATAAAGAGGTGGCTTTAATTCCACCCACTCCACCATAATAACAAAATGGCACCAGTCCTAACAAGTTGCATTCAAATTTTCATCCACGTTTTTTAAATAAATCCAGGATAAGATTGCTCTTTGCTTAAACTAAAAAATCTAATGTGAGATTAACAAAATGAAAATATCTTACTAAGCACCCAGGAAACTGGTGAGAAAAATTTGTTTCTTTCAATAATAACTCGTTGGCTGAATTGCCTCTGGGGTGTTGTTAGAGTAGCTTCATAAAATTACACCAGATGTCAGAATAAGAATGCACATAGGTGGCATAGATCTCCCCACAAAAGAAAGAATGAAAATCTGGGGGAACAAAAGTTGGCCTAGATTACCCTTCCAAGTTTTTTCAATCAGTTTGACATTTTTTAACTTTACCAGCTAAATGTTTATATCATGGAAAGTGGTTACACCAGCAAATACTTAGAGCTGCCCAGTATATCCAAGTGACCAAGTAGATAGTCAGCTTTAAGAGTAATCTAAGAACATCTAGCTATATATGGGTAGCCACTCATTAACATAGACCTTGCAATGATTTGTGTAAAGAAGCATGCCAAAAACAAAAGAGCCATTCTTATTCAGTGATGCAAAGAAAGTTGCTGGTATTCTATAACTATAATCAGCTTTATTCAGCTGAGAAAAGAAGGCAAAACCTGAGACAAAACCAGATATTAACAAGTACCACGCTTTTTTTCCGCTGGGTGCGAAACAGAGGCAGCATGTTACTATAGCTGCAGTTTGCACTTTTGAAAATCCAACTTGAGACTTGAAAACACAGGACGTGAAATAAACTGTTTGATTGTCCTTTGATTTAATGAGATTTGTAAAAACACCTTAAAAGCTGATCAAAAAAACAGGGAAGTCTGTTTACTATTTCCTCTGAGAAGATCAAAAACTAACAGAAAAGATGGTACAAAGGACAGCTGAACTTGTTAATTGACAAAAAAAACTTCTCTCTCAGAAAACCTAAGGAAAAGATCCTTAAATGTATACGTAATGATTTTTGTTTAAAACAGATTCAATGATTACAGACTTAAATTAATTTTCTATTCTTTAACTTGATGAAAGAAAGTTATGGCAGGATGCAATGACAGATATTTTATTTAATGACAAAGAAAAAAGACAAATCCACAGGCAGCTGCCAGTGCTGGGCAAACTCGTGCTTCCACAAACTTGTTCCCCGATTCTTTTAATTTCCCGTATTGGAAATTGCTTCGAAATTTGGACAGGACGCGAAATTAAGGGGGGAAATTAAGACTTCCCTGGAAAATGCAAAACAAAAAACGGGCACTGTATATACTTTTCAAGGCAAGTTTGAATCGACAGACACAATTTTCTTTCGTCTATGAAAACGAGCAAAAACAATCGTTCTTCTTGTGCGCTCTAAACATTTATTTTTATGTGCCGGTTTTGCAACTAAGACAACTAACGCCTATTTCTCAAAAAAGTTTAATTTACTCGAGCAAACTTCTTATGAAAATTGTTTTGTTCGATGTTTGTCTTGTACAATAACAAAAGCTCTTTGCACAGAGGCACAATATTGACAAAATATTCAAAAGACGAGCATATTAAAAGTTGACCATAAACGATAACAG